AACGAGTAAGTGAACAATACAGGCGATAAGGAGTAAAGGCTGACGTGTATGCATTTCCCCTGGGGTCAAAGTTCCAAGTGGTAATACCCCTACTACCTATGACCAATGCATCGCGGATCCCGACAGTCAACAACACGTCCGACTCGCCCATGATATGGTAGGCACCATTGGTACCATTGGCAAGAGAAACAGACCACTGTCCGGATCGGTTGTTAACACACAGTGAGCCAGCAAGATATGACAAACTATTTGAGAATTATTGCTTCGACTCAATGATTGCACGACGACCGTGCTGGCTCCGTCGTGTGGGCGCGTGAGGTATAGATTTCCGACATTACTTTTGATGCGGTAAGCACCATCCGGGGTACATGGTGGGGTTTGTGTGTGAGGGGGATTGCTGGATTGGATATTCGTAAATGGGGATCTCATATCGTCTTGTTTGGCTTGGCTGTCAGTCAAATGCAAGTCGGCTTTCCGAGGAGTACCAAGGTGTGACTGTAGTGCATAAAGTTTGTCGTGGAGAGCCTGAACCTGCAGCCGAAGGTCAGTCCCGCTCTCAGGGGGTTGTTGGTCATCCAGGTAGTAGGCGGGGATGATAGAGTGGAGGTTGCGTATGGTGACTACACCCGCGATGCTGGATGCGAGGTACGTGTTGTCCGGTGAAATCGCGAGGGAGAATACTGTTGTGGGGTTTTTGATGACAGCACTGATCCGCGCAGACGTGGAAGGATCCCAAAGCGAAATGGAGTCACCGACGTGAGAAGCTATGAATCTGTTGTTGCTGGCTAGGGCGATGGATGTGAGATGGTTGACTGGGGCACCGGGCAGTGTCCAGTTGGAGAGCGTCTGCCCTGTATTCGCATCGAGGTGGAAGCACGTATTCAAGGATATCGCGAAGATACTTTGGGCGTTGTACCACCAAATGGACCCGGGAGCAGTGGTTGGCCATGAAGTAATTCCGACATGAAAGGTTTCAAGCAACTCGCCGCAGACCGCGTTGTAGATCCGCAGGGTTCCTAGGTCCCCAGTGGCGATGCGATCCCCGTTGGGAGAGAACTTCACCCCAAGCAGTACATCGTCGTGTTGGAGCGGTCCGACGAGCCGCTTGCCAGTCAGAATATCCCAGATGAACACTTTCCTGTCGTCTGCGCCCGTCGCGAATCTGGACGAGTCTGGTGAAACGTCAACCGGATTCACATTGGGCGAATGCTCCTTTATCGTGAGAGTCCTTTGATGGGTCCTCATGTTCCATACAGTCGCAACCCGGAGCCCGGTGCAGACGATCCAGTTACCATCGGGAGAAAGAGCCATCGCCGCGATATAACCTCCCGTATTCATCGCCTCTCCAACCTCTCTACTCCGTCATTGATACGCCACTGTCGGATCCTGCCGTCTTCGCTACCACTCAGAAAGTGCCTGCCGTCTTGCAAAAAAATGAGTGCGTGGACATTGCTATGCGCGTTAACTGTGGTCGTGCCTGAGTAAATGGTTAACATTAATCTATCTCGCAATCTGCACTCACTCATTGTTCGACGTCAGCTCTCACTTGTCCACCGCCAGACGAGGGCGACGGGGTGCTGATTTAGTATTTCAGTGCGTCTACAGCCTGCCCTTATCAGTTCGCACATCTCCGGTCTGGGTCCAAGCTACTTCCTGCAATAATCTGTCCCTATGGCCTGATGAATCTTCGTGATACCGCAGATTAGATGATTGAGGCGATCATTTATGCAAGTGCGGGTCCTCAGGGATAATGTCGGACCACAGGATCCGCGTTGAGTCTCTAGCGCCTATGTCTACCTTCTATCTGATTATAGAATAGGGTATAAAATCCCAGAGTACAGCTGCATGTCACACGGTGAGGCATTCCGAAGTAACATCAAAACCGTAGCATCTGGTCGTGACAAGTCACCAAAACGTACCCAGGCGTTTTAGCCTATGGGTTGAAGACGAACCCACTCCGTGCGTTCATCACCTGGCGTAACGACTTGCGTTGCGTATTCTCTCTCCAAAACGCCAGAAAATCCAGGGTCTAAAACACAGGGGAATCAGTCGAGGACATCATGCAAGAGAACGAACAAACTCACGCAGGACAACCGATGACGACGGCTACGGCGGCAAGTACCGTGTCCCCCTTGCCAAATCCCAGCGCAGAGTACATCGCCGGAGCAAACAGTGGAAATCCACAGCCCGCCAATGAGCGTAGACAGGATACCGCCGCCATCGCTGTACCGACACAAACGAGTAAGTAACGGAACACTGTTGTATCGCGCGAGAACCCACCAGACGCAGAGTAGAGAGTGAAAGCATCGACGACATACGTCTGAATACACTGAAGGTTAAGAATCATACCGGCTCCAACGAGCACGTTACCCTATTTTCATTTTGCCCCAAAGTTGAGCCGAATCACTAAATTGGCAACTGTGAACACTCACAATGTCCGGTCCAATCCAATGCGTGTGCGCCTCAACAGTCCACCCCGCAATAAGTAGCCCTATAGGAAGTATCAACGTGCCGACAAACATGGCAGCTATTACCAAATGTATCAGCATTTACGAAGGAAGGACAAGAAAGGAGTACGGACGTAGTCTAAACTCGGGTTTCCCAACACCCCCATTTTTATTTTTGAGATATACATAGACCTTGTCCATCGTTCTCGCATTTACTTGCGAAGCTCCTGTGATGCCAATGCCAAGAGCGATATAGTGTAAGCCAGCTATGCCAACAGATTCTTGGTAAACTCCCTCGAAGATGGAGGGCATGGTCGTCAAAAAGACTATGACAGATTAACATATACTAGAAATCGCGCGTCGTTAAATGGCCACCCACTGTATATCGTTCCAAAGATGTATGCCATATATATACCAAGCAACTGGATGATGGGTTCTCGGGCAAAGAGTGCAAATGGCCGCACCAGTGACATGGTCATGATGGCTTGCCAGCTAGGGGTCATCAGTCGGGATAGCATGACTCCTCGAACGATCGTACTCACGAGCGATCTTGTTTCCCATCAAAAATTGTTCGTACCTCTCTGTGAGGTGCCTTCTCCAGGTCCATCGATCTCCTTATTTTCTCTGCCTTCCTCTCCAAGAGAAAAGGCGCAAAAGCTGAAGAAAAGACATGAGTAATGCACACCAGAATTACTGAGTGCGTGAACTGACTTTCTTGAAGGTAGAACAAGCCCAATACCTGGATAGCGGCATCTGCGATGGTCGTTGACCAAAACTAGAGATACAATAGGTTATCAGACCGAGTAACGTCTGGAAGGGAGTAAGCATACCACCCATCTCCACGTTGAACGCTCTGTGACCCTACAGCCATCATCGTCATATAGCTGGAATGGTTGAAATTGGGTGGAAATTTACCAAGCACCCGCGACAGGACCAACTACAGGACCAAGTAACGGCGCTAGAGAATAGATAGCGACTGCCTGACCACGCTCTTCTGTATGCCAACAATCACCCAGGAGAGCAAGACCGACCTGGAATCACAAGGTTAATCAAGCAAAGTGTTATTCGAGATACACTACATACCGCGAGAGGAGCACTACTTCCTACTCCAGCAAGAAAACGGAACGCAAGCAATTGTGATTCATTGCGTGCGAAGCCACATGCAAGATTCCACGCTACATGGCAGTGAGTCCGGAAACTGCAAACTGACGTCACAGCCACATACCAAGATACCATAGGTTTGCTAGTTGGAGCACTCGGGACCGTCCATAGATTTCGCTCAAAGGGGCGAAGAAGAAAGGACCAATAGCTACTCATGTCAGATCGGACACGAACCCAACCGCTGAGCGAAGTTGACTCACCATACGCAAGCACAAAGATAGACATGGTAAGTGCAATGATTACACTGCTATGGACTCCAAACTCGGCAGCCAGTTGATCGGTGGCAGGAGCGACCATGGAAGAGGACACGGTACTGATGAAAGTAAACCCCGAAACAATGAAAGTCGCAGCCCACTTTCGTTTGAAGCTCCAGCTTGGAAGGGATGCATAAGGACCGATAAGGGCTAAAACGCTCTCGTGCTTACTTTTTTGGATTCTTGGGGTCCTCTGGGCCATCCCAATCGACCACAAGGACACCACCTGCTTTTTCATTTGGACTGATAGGTGTAGAGGCGCCTTGTGCTATACTGTCCGGTTCGGAGGTGTATGTCGAACTCAGGAGCCGGCTGTTGTTCATCCCAGTATCCGTGGAATGGTATGTCTGAGGAAAGAAGTGATAACTCCGAGCCGAACATGGTCCGTCCTCGCTTCCACGGCCTATACGTAGTGTGTCCGCTGTGCGCTGGCAATCGTGGTGGCCACTACTGCAGCTCCGGTGATTTCGGAATTCGCACCCCACTGTGACCAAACTTCAGTAATCGTGTCAGCTGTTCCGAACCAATGTCGACCATAATACGTCATTACCTTGTTTACAAGGTCACTGGCTGCATAATTGTGGTTGAAGTGCGACAGATTTTCGCGCTGTAGGAGTTTTACTATTAGCGCTCATTACTACGTAATCAGCATAGTCTCGTGCTACGAAAGTAATATTCCACCATCAACGTCTACTAGTAGTTTCGACAACCTCTCGAGCGTCCTCCAGGCTGACTCCTGCCCTTCCGCCTCGCGTTCTTGTCACCGATTCGCATGACGCATCTCGCGGTTTATATACCACCCTTAGCGCGCTGCTTTGTTGTAGCGACCTCTAATAACACCGACACCAACGTTCCCTACTAATCACGCTGTACACTGTCACCCGACGACAGTCGGACTGCTCGGACTCCCTGCCTTCACGCTGACCCTGTCACCCTTATCTCTAGTCTTATTTCCAACCCGATACCCCCTACTACCGCCCCCGCGGTGCCGAGGTGCTCGTCAAAATAAATGGCGAGTTTGATAAGAGCCCGAAACGTTGCCTTTGAGGTCCCCGTAACATCGCTCGGAGCGACATATCACACTGCTGACTCTTTTGGCATTCGAACTAGCTTGTAGGGGGATGGAAGCAAAAATGTCTGGCCAACGTGGGGATCGAACCCAAGACCTTCGCGTACCATAGTGCCAAGACTGTCACGTGGTGAGCTATGACGATCTCCGTACTAAGGTATTAGCACGACGCTCTAACCAACTGAGCTAGTCGGCCGTTGAAATGGAGCACGTCTCGCTGTCCATATAAGGGGTACTGGGTCAGATGACAGACTTGGATTTACTGGTGATACTGCTTGAGTAGACGGACGTCATGACGAGTAGTCCGTCGTCCGAGCCATCGATGCATAAGTGCTGCTTTCCAATATATTAGTCGTTCAGCTTTCTTGTGTTCCGGGGGAGCGAACTTACTAGCTACATTTGATCCTCTGCCAGTGGAATACCAAGCAGTCAACAACCTTTGACTCATAGATACCTCAGTCAGCGCTTGTCTTCTTTCCTGTGCTGCGTCTGGTGTGGGAATGACTGGGTCGCGGCTAGTAGTGTCGTCACCACCTCGGCCGCACGCGGACAACGAAGATCTTTCGACCAAGGCGTTGCGGCCGCATCCAAGCAAATAGTCTCGTGCCCCTACACCTTGGAACTTGTCCTTTGAGAGTGCCATCGTGACGGAACCAACTCTTTGTGCAGGTCCGCCGTGGTTCAGCATTCAACCCTGTCTCAGCATCGGTCCTTCAAGTTCAGCCCGGGGGTCAGGTAGATGCTAGATTCAGGACATCGCGAAGTAGTCCGATTCGAGAATCTGGAGCAATTGCTTCGTGGTCCAAAAACCCCGCGTCAGGATGATGGACCATCGAGAGATAATGGCAGTACGACAAGATCCGCCCAGAAACGTCTGCTCTGCCAATTCGCAATGTTTCGGTCCTACTTCATGTCTGCGCTTCCCTGCTGCCCGCGTGTTCCCTTCCTGAGAAATGGATCGTCCGTGTCTGTCATGTCTTGCCTTCCCTTCCCGAATGTCGTAGTTGCCCGTATGGAGCGTGATCCAGCTCTGTTCGACCCCCGTTGGTAGCCGCTCGCTACATCCATGATCTTGATCCAGAAGTCCGTGGAATCAGTATCGAGTTCCGCTCCAGGGATAGTCAGCGCTCTAAGTAGTTGCGTAGGACGAGCACGAGTGAGAGGCGGGGAAAGACAGAACGACATGTCCAGCCGCTGCAAGGTTCGCCTAGAACAAAGAAAGATGGATTGACCTTTGGTAATGAATATAAATATGTACTCAGGAGACCGATGCTAGGCTATGCAAGAGAATCTTCGCTAGCGCACAGTGACGTGCAGCATGGATGTGAGGTTCAAAGCCACTGCCCAGGCCTCCGAGTCGCCGCCATTCTCGCCCCACCTGCCACCCCAGAATGACGCGCTCACAACAACGCCTGCTCTCCTAACTCCGGAAACGGGCTCTGCCCTCCCGCGTGCCTCGCCCGTGTTTGTCAAGTCCTCTGCACATCCCCACCTAAGCGTAAGTTGGTAGGGAACGTTTGCAACCTCTCGCGCTTCTCTCCCCGTATGTCCATCTATTTTTTTTTGCATGGCACCAATGACGACGGACAATCAACGTTGACCATTTTGCCCCGCTCTCCATAGACCGCGATCACACTGATCAAAACCTCTCTCAGGAACCTCATCCATGTCACCACCGCCCTCTTTTTCCGCGAAGACGAAGTCCTCGACCGCTCTCTACACTCTCTGCCCTATCTGGGACCGTCATCAGTGCCGCAAACGGCAACGGCGGCCATGGGCACCAGCAGGGAGTCTGGGCTTAACGCATCGACGTTTGTCCGTTCGCAGAATGCAACCTCCATAAAACTCCTCCGCCTTGCTGTCCGTCTTGCCAGAGCTGGATTCATGCAAATTGCTGGTACATTGCGAAGTGACGTCAACAGAGAGCATTGCATAAGCTGGTAAAGGGGACTCAACGTCATCCCCCTGTACGCCTCAGGGGAAGAGAGAAATCCTCTGAACGCAACGCAGCTGTAGAATTCTTTCTGCTCGCAGCTCTCGAACAAGTAAGAATGAAAGCGTTTTCTGCGCTCACACTCCTCGTAATAACAGGGCGCGTGACTACCTGGGCTAGTAGTTCGGGTTGTCTTTGCACCTATGGTCAATCCTGCTGGCCTTCCGCATCCACGTTCTCCCAACTCCAGTCCCAGGTCTCCCAGCCACTTGTATACCCACTTCCCAGTGCGTCAGCGTGCTACCCACCCTCAAACCCATCAGGAAACTGCACTGCGGTCATCGAGAACTGGTACGACGGCAACTGGCGCTCATCCATGCCCGGATCCATGGACGCAACGAATTTTGAGACGTTTACGTTCCGAAACGGCACCATCGACGCGTGTTATCTCAACACGACCCTCACGGGCACCTGTGGACAGGGGAGCGTGCCAGCCATCGGCGTAGACGCTCGCTCAGTGGAGGATATACAGGCTGCGGTTACCTTTTCGGCGCAGCAGAACCTGAAGTTGGTTGTTAAGAACACTGGGTATGTCATCTCGCTCATTATGAGTTACACGGTATAAGCATGATCTGCGGGCAGCCATGATTTTCTTGGGCGCAGTACAGCGCGGGGTGCATTCGTGGTGTGGACGCATAATATGAAAGCCATCGCATACAATCCCACCTTTTCACCTCAGGGAGCCCCTGCGAACGAGACATACGAGGGTAGGAGATTCGCAATTTGCTTTGGAACCCTCCTGATTATTTATTCTGAGCAGCTATAACGCTTGCTGCTGGCGTGCAGTGGCATGAAGCATATACCGCCGTCAATAACTACGGACGCTTGATGGTCGGCGGTACCTCTGTGGGTGGTTCCGTCGGTTCGTCTGGTGGATGGTTAGCGGGTGGAGGTCACTCTGCGTTTTCTCCCAGCTACGGCCTCGGTAAGATTCCGGGATCATCTAGTTTACTGAATTAATCGACCAATTGAAGGTGTTGACAACGCTCTACAAATATCTGTCGTTCTCTCCACCGGAGAGTTTTTGACTGCAAACCAATATCAAAATTCCGATCTCTTCTGGGCATTGCGTGGTGGTGGTGGATCCACGTATGGGATTGTCACTTCGGTCACCTACCGCACCTACCCATCAGTGCCAGTACAACTTTACACGTATCAGGCAAACATCACGAATTCGTCGGTGTTGCCAGAGCTTGTTGGGGGGTTACTGCGTTACCAACCCCAGTTTACAGATGACGGTTGGGGAGGATTTGGGGCCATATCTGGTCAACGATTGAGCTTCTTATATGTCGCGCCCAATATGACAAACGAAACCGCGATGGCAACCACTCAGGCCTGGCACAACTACACAGCTTCCTTGGCCCCGTTTGGCGTCGTCTCTGCGGAACGGGTTTATTATTTGTCTTCGTGGTATGAACTATATCAAATTCTAAACAACGGCACCCAGAACTATGGAAATGTCATGCTCACATCTCGACTTCTCTCGCGAAACACCGTTGCAGACAACTACGTTGAAGTCGCCGAGGTCCTTGTTGACTGTAGCGCCGTCTTCCTGTACGTTTCCCACTCACCCTCTGCTTGGGCTGGCTGACAATTTGGATCAATAATCATCCATGAAGTACTATTGCAGGTGGCAAGGTCAGCCAGTTTGATGCCGATTCTGCTGGGCTCAATCCCGTCTGGCGGAATGCGGTCGTGGAAACCGTGTGTGCGATCAGTTGGGAGGATGGCGCATCCTCGAAGGAAATCCGAGGGTTGATATCCCAACTCAAAGGATGGATCAAGGACATGTACGATATCACACCCAACGATGGTGCTTACTTCAACGAGGTTCGTCCCGTACGCCCGCCTTGGGGTGACCCTACTTACCGTGTTCAACAGGCGTCCTTGTTCGAGATCAACTGGCAAGAGACCTTTTTCGGCTCGCACTATTCGGCTCTGAAAGGCATCAAGGACAAGTATGATCCGTACAGGCTTTTCGTTGTTGCGGAGGGTGTCGGGTCTGAGGATTGGAACAAAAATTTGACGTGCCGGTTTTGATTTGTGTTCGACTTGAAGTTCCGTATTATTTGCAGTATTTTTCTTGCAGTTTTCAAAAAGCCACTTGTCATTGATCACTTCTGGACAACCGACTTATAGTGAATGCTGTGCGGATGTGGTCTTAGAATGTGGGAATGAATGACTGGGCGGCAGCGTGATCCGAACGTCGAAGCTCACCTCCCAGCAAAATAGTCTCGTCCCCCGTGGCCCTTGCCTCACTGCGTTTGAAATTGTTTGTTGGGAATTGCCCGAGCACCGGCTTTGTGATCCCCATGACTCGGCTCGCACATCACCTTACTATCTCGTCGAGCACCACTTTTTACTCCGACCGATTTAGGGCGGTGCGCTGGTGGGGCGACGCTGCGATGATCGCTCGCGACCGCTGTTACCCCACGAGTCAAAATAAGCCTCGTAAGGTTTAGACTAGTACAGACTGCCGCTCAGTGAGCCAAAATAAGCCCTTTGCCAATTCAATCCTAACGTACTCTTTCCGCAGACAACCTGTGCTACGCAATCCGCAGTAAGTAATTCCACGAGCTGGCTAAGGGACTTGACGTCATTTTCCTGTGTACATACTGCACGGGATAGATCGCATACCGAGCACTGCAAATCACAGACGGAGAATGCTGTAAATCCATGGGAGTGATCATATATAATGTCCCGTAGGCTCATCTCCAAAGCGTGCATTGGGACACATCCTCGTGTTTATAGTCTTTCCACTTGAACCTCTCGAACAAGCAGGAATGAATGTGCTCTCTGCACTTGCGCTCCTCGTAATAGGAAGGCCACTGACTGCCTGGGCTAGTAGTTCAGGGTGCCTTTGCACCTATGGTCAATCCTGCTGGCCCTCCGCCTCCACGTTCTCCCAACTCCAGTCCCAGGTCTCCCAGCCACTCGTATACCCACTTCCCACCGCGTCAGCGTGCTACCCACTATCAGACCCATCAGGAAACTGCACTGCGGTCCTCGAAAACTGGTACGACGGCAACTGGCGCTCGTCCATGCCTGGATCCATGGAAATCACAAATTTCGAGTCGTTCATGTTCCAGAACGGCACGATCGATGCGTGTTATCTCAACACGACCATCACGGGAACCTGTGAACAAGGGAGTGTGCCAGTCATCGGCGTAGACGCTCGTTCAGTGGAGGACATTCAGGCTGCA